ACCTTAGCTTGTGCTTTTGCCAATTCTACCCAGGTGAGAATGCCTCAATCTCAACGTTACTCTGTTCAGCAGCTTTCTTTGTGAAAAACAACTTATCCTACACTACATACAGAAATACTGGAAACTTATACTGCAAAAGCACAATCTACCTCTCACATGTTGAAACTAGAGCTAATTGCTTGCTAAATGTCTTCCCTGAACTCTGTTGTGGGAGTACCTTGTCCTTGTAAGCCATTTGAAATTTTAGAGTATTTGACTGAAGGGAAGACTCAAAGAATATTTTTCTAAAATGAGTGTAGACCTTTAATGTATGCTTTCCAGTTGAAATTCAAGATGCACTCTACTACTGTTCTGTGGGGAGTAGCTGTGGTGTTTTCGTGTGTGTGTGTACATGTACACCACAAAGCTATGCATAAGCTTATGTATGAATGAGTATGTGCAAGTACACACGCCTAATTTAGAATCATAGAATACCCAAGGTTGGAGAAGACCTCCAAGGTCACCTAGTCCCTAACTGTAGTCCAACCATCTACCTACCACCAATATTTCTCCACTTAGTACAACATCTAAACATTTCTTGAACATCTCCAAGGATGGTGACTCAACCACATTCCTGGGCAGACTGTTCCAGTGCCTGACCACTCTTTTGGAGGAAAAAAAGAATCTTTCTATTTATACCAATTCCTCTACAGTATTTAAAGAATGAGAACAAACAAGCCAGATATCATAAAGGCTCTCAGAGCAAAATATCGTGCAGCATCTAAAGCACAATATCCTGAAGAGCCTTAGTACGATAGGCAAGCACTCTGTCAAATGTGGAAGCCATTCAGATTATTTTGGTTCAGTTAGTTTGATTCAGAAAGATGAAAACTTTCTGTGTGAATGGGAATCTTCTAAATTCTGACATGGAATCTATAGTTTTGTCTAAAAAGTTATTCTGAATCAAAGTCCCTGCCTGTCTTACCTACTTACCAGTGTTAACCTCCCATTTTTGACACAGTTCGTGTAGGCTGGGAAGCATAATAGAAATTAAATCATTTTATTATGAATGAGCTGCGGATATATATGTTTTTTTCCCTTGACCCAGCTAAAATGACTAGGAAGTAAAAAGGTCTTTCAGCAACTGTGCTTAAAGTTCTTGTAAGATATTCCATGCTTAAACTGAAAATACTTTGCATAGCCCCTGGGAATGAAAGCTTCACTAATTAATCATTTGCCTTTGAGTTTCCCTTGTAGCATCATTATGTGCTCCAATGAACTAAAACACTAAGTCTCCTTGCAAAATCAGAAAAGGAAGACTGGTGAGCCAATCTGCTGCATGGTTCAAATGTTGCAGAACACTAATCTGTTACTAACAGGAAACATAAGAATAATCATGACTTTCAGGGGAAAGCCCCACCCCTCAAGCCTCTTTTTCACACAATTGCAGGTAAGTAGTTTCAATTGCTGTGGTTTAATCTAGCAAGTGAACACCACACAGGCCTTCACTCACTCTCTCCTCTTCCTCAGTGGGATGGCAGAGAGCATAAGAAAAAAAGGTGGAACTTGTAAGCTGAGATAAAAAAGTACACGTGACAACAGAAAAGGAAGAGAGAAATAACAGTAACAACACTAATTATGTATGTACATATATATATATATATATATAAAATAAGTGATGTACATCAGTTTCTCAGTATCTGCTGACCCCCAGTCAGCTGCAGCCCCTCCTAGCCAAGTTGCCCATAGAATTATAGTTTTTTTTTCCACATGATGTCATATAGTATGGAATATCCCTTTGGACTTTTCAGGTCAGCTGAAAAGTCCTGGTTCTGACCCTGCCCAGCTCCCCTGCTCCTTCTTTGTCCCAGACTCCATGATGGCAGGACAATGTAAGAAGCTGAGAAACTGAAATGTCCTTGGCTCTGTAAGGCACTAATCAACAACAGCTAAAACTGATGTGCTACCAACACTGTTTTTTTTTCTAAGCTGCATAGCATCGTACCAGACATTATAAAGATTACTGAGTCTGTACCAGCTAAAACCACAAAGAATCTGTATTGAGGGTATAGAAGATTGCACAGTGCCTGCCTTTGACTGTTGAAAAATTTAAGAAATTCAAAGATTAAGAGGAAAATCTGATTTCTGGACACTTTTTAGCAATTCTTCTCCCTCCATCCCAAAAGAGAGGAATATGCAGAGTTTAGTTATCACCATCTTCAAGAATGATTCTTTTAGATTTTCCTTAAATTATTTTAATTAAATGAACTCTGCATAACTCTGTTGGTTTCCTGCATACAGTTCTCTCTCCAGTTCTTTCTCTTTTGAAATGCTGTTTAGGTTCACTGATTCTGCCACCAGTTAGATGTTTCAACAGTGTAGAAGAAGGACTGTTCTGTCTCATGAACACTAAATGAAAATGAGAATTATTCCTGACTTCAGGCCTGCCTAATCTCCACGAGGAAGGTCTGGAGGAAACTGCTGGAATTTCCTAGCACTTTCTTATGGGATACAAGGATCCTGACACAGCTCCTAACACAGAGTAGCAAATGTCATAGGACATTTCCTCTTAGACTGCAAAGTAACTACATTATCTGTTTTTTGTTGTTGTTGTTGATGTTGTTGTTGGCTGTTTTTTTTTTTTCTTTCCACCTTATGCAGAAGAATTTCATTGCTAGGATTGTTTACTAAAAAGGTAAGAAGAGTGGGGCTAGACATATGAAACAAATGGGTCATCTCTTTGGTAGAATACACTAGTGCTTGAAAGACCAAGCCATAATTCCTGAACCCAATAAGCATCTCAAATAAACTATTGGTGAAAAAACAGGCGATTTTCATTTACAGCTATGGTACCACTAGAGGGGGAAAGAATATGAAACATCAGTACATTACACAAGTTTCTGTACCCATTACTTTTTACCTTTATTCTTGCATAATGTTCCTGACTCTGTTGACTGCATTTGAATCCTGTAATCCTGTAATCAAAAATTATTCTTCTCTATTGTTATTGTACAATTCTGTACAGCAGAGATACAGTTACTAATTACACTGGTAGTGAATAGGGAATGGCATGCAACTACTGCCCCCCTTCAATTATGCTGCCTTGTGACCATGGCATTCTTTTGTACTGGAGATGGGAAGCACATCTAAAACCAAAATTCTCATGACATTAGTCCCTCAGAATAACTCCAGAAGTTGAGTTCTTAGTAGAGAATGACTGTTAGCCAGAATCTTCTATCTGAATGAACTAGATTTTGATCATGTTATACTATAACTGAAACATGACGCCTTCAAGACTAGCTGTAAGTCATAAGCAAATGTGACTCACTTCAGTTCTAGTGATTTAGTTTCCATGCAGCATGAATGGTTCACCCAGAGAGCCCTGATGCAATCACAACACACAACATACATCTTCCTCATGTTTAGGAGGGAGGTCTGTGGCTAGTTGCAGTACACTTAATTTCCAGGATCTAATTTTGTGATTAAAGAAGGAGTACAATGATAATGAACAATCAGGATAGTACTGAACTAAATGCAGTACCTGCTATTCCTCTGCAGTTGTAGGTATTCTTCTCTAAACCATCTAGTTCAGCATCTGAAGTCTAATAGTGTTCATTAATTGTCCTACTTCCTATTCCTTTAGGAAACCACCTGCACAAAAGCCCTATTTATATAACACTAATCAATTCTCATTCCTCAAGTCTGAACAGGCAGAAGGCAGCAACATCATCAAGAGGTTATTTCTTGGGATACAACAGCAAATACCTAACAGTTCCTCAAAACAGGCCTTCCTTGCACAGCAGCGGGATCGGTGGATCTTTAGAAGCACCTAGCTGTGTGGATACTGACTGCAGTTCTGTAAGTAGGATTTTATGTTCATTGACATAACTCTAATAACTTTGGGAAGAAGAAAAGGTTTGGAGTAGGACGAGCAGAGTATGATGCATTCCTTCTCTGTTAGGCAAAACCAAGCTGAGAAAAGTGACTGCTAGTAGACATATCCTACAACTTTAGATAGTTCACTAGGTTCTTGTATTGTAATTTGTGTCTTAATAATGGGTGTTCCAGTGGTATCACCAAGATTCTATTGAGTATTTACCGGAGTCAGAATTTTTTGAAAAAGAATAGAGAGGTTGCTATTACCGTGGTGAAGGAATAGATTTGCAGGTTGATGACAGAATCGGCTATCCCTCTTCAAAGTGTGGGTCAGCACATACCCAGGTGTTAATGTGAACAAGATTGGAACTGGGGTGGCTACAGCCTTCCTATCAAAGCCAGTGTAAGAAGAGAGATCTCCTGGGGTATGTATGTAGTGATAATATTTTCTATTAGAGGATTAGAACTCATTAAATGTTGATCCTACCATCCCATATTCTTTTTGTTTGGTGTGCTAATTACTTATCTTGGAAATATTATGAAACAATGAATCTGGGACTGAAAATAGTAATTTAGAACACTCTTAACTTCTAGAATGGCTATGAGAAAGATCTTGATGGCTCTTCCAGAAATTTTGCAAATTGCAACTTACTTGATAAGTTTTTCTTTCTAATAAGGTCTTCCTGTGCCAAATACGTGAAGTGGTGTGAATTCAGAGCAAAAAAAAGTATTTGACAAAAATTTATGGGAATTTTGTCCTGTTCTCTTAGCAATAGAAACCTGCAGTAATTGGGATGGCATTTTGCTGCCAAAAGTCTGTAGTGAGGAAGCATCAAGAGTCAACAGGAGAGGGAGAGGAGGAGAAGGGCACAATGGTATCTCCTCATCCTTTTATTTTGTGTAACTCCAGCAACACTTAATGTTGCCTTGGTGATCTGTCACGTGTCTGGGATGTGGCAGCTGACTGCACACAGGTAATAAACAAGAAAATCTGCTAGCGACTTTCATGTTCTTTAACTTCCTTGTTCCTTCTCCTGTGTTTTTTTTTTTTTTTTTGGTGAATCTCATTTCTGCTTGCACTTGCCCATAAGGGAGGAGCCAGTGTTCAGAGTTCATCTTCTCTAGATACAGCTAAACATTGCATTGTGCCAGTAAGCAGGAGGTGGTGACATCATCACTTCTGTGTTGTACTATGTGAAACTGGAAGGGAACGTATTTTTCTTCATTGTGGCAGAGATGGATCCAGAAGTTTTGCGTGAACTGCCTGTGAGTACTTTATGAAAATGAATCGAACAAGGACACGGGGAATTGCAATAAAATGCTATCTCCCAAGCAGATTTATATTCTGTCAGAATGCATTGCTGAGTGTAAATTTATATGTGCCTAGAGGGACTGTCTTAATGCAGTACACATAAGTTTGAGATAAGCGTAATGTGTGCAACAGATTATCTGGTGATAATTTCAGGAAAGAAAGGATGGAGTGTGCACATTAAAAAAAAAAAAAAATTAGAGATATGGTGATTGAAAGCTGGTTTGTGGGAAACTGAGATGTGAAGGGAAACAATGAAAATCAGTTTTTTGGGCGATATTAGCAACATGTGCATTTATATAATGTCTTGAAGTATTCGTGTTGTGTTAACAAATGACTGCAAAAAGTAAGTTTGGTTAACTTTGAAGTGCGACCACTACATGTAATAGAAGGGGAGGTAGGGAAGAGAAAAGAATTTTTAACAGTACTTGTCAGTATTTTACTTGTATAGAAACCTGTGGGAGCCATAAAAAGCTGGATTTATGGGTTGATTGATCTGAATTAGTGTGACTCTATTTATTTGCTTTTATGTAGTTCCCCAGTCCCAGGAGAGCTGTTGTTATGGTAATGAATGGCACTGTAGAGAGTTAGGTGAAGGGTTTTAAGATACAGCATTGAGCAGGATGTGGTGGTTGTTAAAAATTTGAAAGGTATACAAGCTACCTTAGTGAAAGAATTGGAAGTTAATGCCTAAAATCTAATTTCAGTGTTCAACAAATGTACGTCAGATTTGCTGTCTCTGCAGGGGGTGGGGTTAGAACAGAAGTAGTTCCATGCCAGGATTTGTACAGAGGGGAGAAGATGGCAGAGGCAGTCCACAGTTGAGTAGAACGTAAGTGATCTTAATGTCATTGATTTAGTCGTTGATTTTCTTTTGCAGTGCTGCTGTTCAATCACATACTCTTCTCTTATTAAAATACACATCAACTGTATTTTCTCTCTAATCTCTGGTATTTGCCAAATAATCTGCGTCCAGCTCTGCCCTTCTTGCCCTTGCACTACTTGGAGGAACATTTTCATGTTTTGCCTTGAATCAGTTTTTTCTTTTCCTTCTTGCACAAATTTGTCTGATTCTTTTCCCTGTCCAACTTTCTTCCCCAGTTCATCCTTTTCTATGTCATGAACTGTAATGTGATTCTTTTTTCTCAAACTTCAATCCCATTTTAAAATGCTGATGTAGTCTCCTATGTCCTGTTTATACAGAGGCCAAAGAGACAGTGCAGACATACCTGACCATACCAGCACATCAGAGGGGTAGCTATCTTGTACATTTCAAGGAGCAAGATAAGGCTGCTATATTTAGGCACTCCTATATGTTTGCAGTCAGAGGATGTCAACATGACCTAATCTGAACAATAGGGTAACAAGTTTATAGCTTATTTGTATTCTCAATCTCCAATTTTTACTCTGCTCAACTAGTACTTTTAAATACCTGTGTAAATTCAGACCCAAGGTCTGGCGTCTCCTTGGACTTTTTGGTTTTCCATCCATGTATTTCCATCCCAGATTATAAACAATTACCTGGACGGGACCCAAAGAGAGGCCATGGACTCCATGAGTGGCATGCACTTCAGTGATAGCAACAGAAAGGTTGATTATGTTTTAGTCTACCACTACCGGAAACGCCTCACCCAGCACAGTCCTGGGGCTGGATCACCAGGACCAATACACAGGGCAGCCTCCATGGCCATTGTTTCAAATGGAGAGACGAAGAAGGGCGGCCTCAATCTGCAGCAAGACAATGGCCAGCATACCCCTCAGGAGGCTCAAGTGATTGAGCTGGACCCATTGGACACCCTGGAGGAGGAAAAACGACTGCAGAGGGAAGAGTATGAATGCAATCTCGTGGCAGCTGGACTGGAGATCGAGAAGGACATTGAGGTAAGAGGGAGAAAATTGTGTATCCTGAATGGTACTGGGTGCACGACGGGTAATGGCCATCATGTTGCGTAAGATGGACATGAAGGAAGCATAAACAATGGCAAGCAAAAGCCTGGCTGTGACCCTGCATCAGAGCCAAGCCTATCTCTATACCTTCTCTGGTTTAATGATAACCAATAGGAGAATCATGTATTACATGTACTGTTCCTGAGGTATCTCATAGTCATTTAAGAAGCTAATCATAAACCTTGTCACTGCTGATCACTGCTGAACATCCTAGAATTTAAAGCTGTTGCTGTAACCCCAAATTAGGAATCATCAGAAATAAATTACATGAACTGTTTTATACATGCCTGTCAATGTTTTACAGGCTGCTCTGGCCCAGTTCCGTGACTAGTGGGGTGGGGGGACCCATGCCCCAGGAAAGGGAAAAGGGGGAAAAAGGGTAGAGAGATGGGCCTAAAAACATAACAGCAGTAGCAATCTGAGGAGAAAAAAACCTAATTCACTAAATAAGATATAAGAATGCAAGATAACACACCATAATGCAATATAATACAATTGAAGCTACTAAATCAAATAAAATGAGAATGTCCGAAAAACTGAGGCTCTTACTCTAATGCTGAGGCGAGACACCTAGTCGGGCCAAGCAGAAGAGAAAAGAGAGGGTGTTTCATGATATGTGAACAGTTTTATCTCTCCTTCTGGATGGAAAATGGAAACAGAACAACACAAAGTCCTCTGGAGTATGTAGTGTGTAGTTCTTCTCTTCTGAAAATGAGGTACCCAGAACTATCCATGATCCATGGAACTGGAGCATTAACTCTTTAATTCCCAATGCACTACATGATGTTATGATGTAGAATACCGATAACAAAAGCCACAAAACCACGGCATTCCACTCCTTATTCCACGTCACTACATCATGCTTAATATGTACAAACAAATAAATATTATGTAAGTAACAAACAATAAACACATGTACACACTCATATACATACATATATTTACATGGAATTGCAGATTGTATGCACCCAACATCAAATTCCCTTGTGGTACACATTGAAAGTTCCCATTTTTCTGCATCACCCACCAAGTAGACCCAGGTCCCTGAGTAAACAGAAGCTTGAGAGACCCAAACTGCTTTCTCCAACATGCTTTTTACATGTACTACAGGGACTTATCTTCCTTTACAGTATGCAGGGAGCTGGATTAGGCAGGGCCATCACAATTGATAGATAGATCCTTGAGTGTTGACCAACCAGGTGGCTTCTCCCTCTGCTTAAATATTCCACCACCCATTGCTTTTAACATAGTTTTTAACAATCCATTGCATCACTTGATTTTACCAGAAGCTGGTGAATGATAGGGGATATGATAAATCCACTCAATGCCATGCTCTTTGGCCCAAGTATTTACAAGAGAATTTTTGTAATGAGTCCCATTGTCTGACTCAATTCTTTCTGAAGCGCCATGTCGCCTCAGAACTTGTTTCTAGAGAGTGAGTATGGTGTTTTGGGCGATAACGTGGGATAGTGCATGCTTCAAGCTACCCAGTGGTTGCCTTCACCATGGTAAGCACATAACATTTACCATCTCAGGTTTGTGGCAAGGTGATACAATCAGCCTGTCATTGCTCCCCATATTTATACTTTTGCCATGGCCCTTCCGCCTAGAGAAGTTTCATCCTCTTGGCTTGTTTAATTGCCACATGTGTTTCACAGTCATTAATAATCTGTGAAATTATAAATAACTGTGTTAAGTCCACCTCTCGATCTCTAGCCCACTAATATGTTGTATCTCTTCCTTGGTGCCCATACTCTTTATTTAGGTAGAAATGTCTTTCCACAGTTCAGCAGCCCAAATACATCTACCACTTCATTGACAGTTGTTTTGTTCCTACTGCTGTAACCACCCACATACAGCATTTGCTACCATCCATGAGTCAGTGTAAAGATAAAGCATTGGTCACCTCTCCTGTTCAGCAACATCTAAGGCCAGTTGCACAGCCTTTACCTCTGCAAATTGTCTTGATTCTCCTTTTCCTTCAGTGGCCTCTGCAACTTGTAAGGCTCCAAACAGCAGCTTTCCATCTGTGATGCTTCCCCACAATAGACATGATCCATCTGTAAACGGGGCATATTTCTTTTCATTCTCTGGTAGTTCATTGTATGGTGGGGCCTCTTTAGCACACAGTACTTCTGCTGGTGATGTTTCAAACTTTTTACCCTTAGGCCAGTCAGTGATCACCTCTAGGATTCCTGAATGACTGAGGTTCCCAATTTGAGCTCATCACATAATCAGTGCAATCCATTTACTCCAAATGGCATCAGTAGCATTGTGGGTGGAGGGAACAGTCCTTTAAACATGCAGTTTAGCACATGCAGTCGAGGTGCTAGAAGGAGATGCATTTCATTACCGATTACTTCAGAAGCAGCTTAAACCCCATCATATGTGGCTAAGATCTCCTTTTCAGTTGGAGCATAGCACTTTTCAGACCTCCTGTACGCTCGAATCCAGAATCCAAGGGGTGGGCCCTGGGTCTTTCCTGAGATTCCAAGTGGGACCTTTCTCTCCAGCAGTAGTGTAGAGGATGTTCTTTACATCCTGTCCCTTCTGTAGTGGCCCCATGGCCATGGCTTAGGCTATCTCTTGTTTAATTTGGTCAAAAGCCTGCTGCTGCTCAGGACCCCACATAAAATTATACTTCTTCCACATCACTAATCAACCCATGGCAAATGGTTGGACTATATTTATTTCCACCCCTGCCGCAAACAGTTCCAGGTATATTGAATGCCCCTCCAGGTAAAAGCCAATTGTGGCCTACATTCTGTGGCTGAAGGAATGGAGAAAAAGGCATTAGCGATGTCAGTGGTGGCATACCACTTGGTGGCTTTTGACTCCAATTCATACTGGAGTTCTAGCACATCTAGTACAGCAGCACTCAGTGGTGGTGTGACTTGATTCAGGTCACAGTAGTCTACTGTCAGCCTCCATTCCCTACTGGCTTTACACAATGACCGTATGGGGCTGTTAGAAGATGAGTGAGTTTTGCTTATCACTGCCTGACTCTCTAGCTGACAAATCAACTTATGGATGGGGAGCAAGGAATCCCTGTTAGTGTGGTACTGCCATCTGTGTACCATTTTTATAGCAATTGGTACCTGTTGCTCTTTCACTCATAGCAACTTGACAGATCTTCTGATAGGCCAGGTGAAACAGACAGCTGATTAACACTGTCTGTATCTACAGGAGCTATTCCAAAGCACCCACGGATACCCCTTGTGATCCTTAAAATGTTCCCTTCTGTAGTAATCAATACCAAGTATACAGGGAGCTCCTGGGCCAGTCATAATAGGATGCTGTTGCTGATCTTCACCAGTAAGGCTTATTTCCACCTCCAACAAAGTCAACTCTTGGGAATCCCCTGTCACCCCAGAAATATAAATTGATTTTGTCTCTTCATGACTTGATGGCATTAGAGTGCACTGTGCACCAGTGTCTGCCACTGCCTTATATTTCTGTGGTTTTGATGTTCTAGGCCATCGAATCCACACAGTCCAATACACTCTGCTGTCCTTTCCCATCTGGCTAGGGGCAGAACTCCTGTATTTGTTACCTCTATCGTTTCTCTTGTGAGAAGAACTGTATCATTCTCCTGTGAGCTATGAATCAGAGTCCTCATGGCTTTTTGCCATGTCCCACAGCAACTGGAACAATCACCTTTTCGGAGGAGTTCATCTGGGCGTTCATCTGTCTTGTGATTCTTTTTCCTGAGCTTGAAGTGCAGGAGTGGGTTTTTAGAGTCACTTCTTCATATCTTTTCCATGGTCATGTAGGTAACACTACAAGACAATATATGACACAGTCTTACTGTTGTCACTTCCTTAAGCAGGATGTCCTCTTTTAATAGGTGAGATGTTGTATGACACAAGTTGGAAGGAAACTATTTTGATCAGCCCCTCCAGTAGGCTGTTTTGATAATCTTGATCCCTATCAGGTGTCTCTGATGCCACCATCAGGTTTCATCAGTTCCATCGTATTAAAGCACAGTAGACAGTCCATCATACCTTTTTGATTATTCTCTACTCTGTCCAGTCTTTCAGTTATTTTTGAAATGGTTGAAATGCAAGCTCATATAGGGGTTAAATGTAACTCAGAGTCATGAAGTCTATTAATCAGTTCATTTAAAAAATAAGGGGTCTTCTTTCCCTCTGCCATAGAAGTAACCAGGTGACAATGGGTTCATATGGGTGGCGTGAAGAGTCTTTTCTCAAACTTTGAATTTCTGTCTTTTTCAGAGGTAGAGTAGTAATGGTGATGATGTCTTCCTCACCTCCCACTCTTTCAGGACTTGCTCTTGCCCTCCTGGGCATTGGTGACCATGATCCTATTGGGGGTTCCTCTCTCTGGATCTCTTAGATCTCCAAGCCACTCCTCTTGTCTTCTTTCCTCCTCTTCTCTTACAGTGTCTTATACTTTCTCCTCTTCCTCTTTCTTCCATTCTAAATAAGGTGATAAGATGATCATTTTCTATCCTGTTACAGGGGCAACTGACATCAATTCTGGTGCCTCCTGTGATTGATCAAGTTGATCATTTTCAGTGCTCTTTCTCTCCAGCTCAGCTTAGAGTCTGTCTTGTTAGGTTAGGAAGATGTCTTGTTCAGCTAGAAGGGTGTCTCATTGAGATTGAAGTTTTATTTGTTCAGTTTGGAGACTGTTTAATTTGGATTGGAGGATGTCTTGTTTGGCTTGAAGACTGTCAAGCTTGGATTGGAAGGTGTCTTGCTTGGTTTGGAGGGCATCTTGTTCAGATTGGAGGGTATCTCATTCGAAATGGAGACAGTTGAGTTTGTATTGAAGGGAGTCTCACTTGGTTTGGAGGGTGTCTCATTTGGATTGGAAGCTGTCTTGTTCATTTTGATGGGTGTCTCATTCAGGTTGGAGATCTCTTCTCTCACGTTGGAGATTCTCTATCTTGGACTGGAGATTCTCTCAGA